TGGACACACTAGATGGACAGACAATTACACTACATAATTTTTATCAGCCTTCTAGTGTGAGGGGAATATGAAGATCCATCTATCTCCCTTATGTACTGCTTTACTAGTCATGCCTACATAAAAATTGCTGAGGGATATGCTTTTAGCCAGGATTTTTTCTTACATCAAAATGTGTTCTTCTTCCCCTTCATAATTTTCATTAGCCATGTACTGATATCTAAGATGCAGTTGTATAATATTAATAGTATGTTCTTATCATTGCATCAGTTGTATATAGGATTGCTAAATTCCTTATCACAACAGATTTATATTCTTATCTATATGCAATTTGCATACCTTATCAAGGTATAGCTGTAAAGTATTTGAAAGATTCCTTTGACATTTCTGGTAAGTATGGATAAGATAGCATTAATTAGCATAAGTTTTTCTATAAATGACATGTCAATCCATGACAACAAAAAGTGTGTTACTGATGTCAATCACTCATCTTCTGTCAGTTCAAAAGATTTTCCTGAAGGGATATATATTGATCTACATTGACCCAAAATATAGTTAAAAAAACATTTCTATATTCTAGAAATCAAAATGGAATCATCTTTGCTTTAACAGTGAAATGAAAACATAAATAGAGAATGTAAATGTTAATAACTTTGATTTACAAGGTTGAACTTATTGTAAATTAAGACAAAATTAGGTGAGGTTGTGCAGTTTTGGAATCCTGAAATCTAATTTCACAATGAGCTCTTTTGAACATTCTGCCTGCCCCAGAGACTGCCTTTCTATTTGAAGTGATATGATTCTGAGGACTTCCCCAATTTTCTTCTTGTCTGACCATTTTTTGTCCCCTTCAGTTCTATCTCTTGTTCCTAAAATGTGACTGCCCCTCTAAGAATATTGCTCTTGTTTTTTTCTCTCTCTTTATACTCTCTCCTTTTGTGATATGGGTAGTAGTAATGGTATGCAGTAGATATAGTGCTAGGCCTCAAGTCAGGAAGACATCTTGAGTTCAAATCTGGCCTCAGACACTTGTTAGCTATGTCACCCTGAGTAAGTCACTTAACCCTTTTAACAGCAACAACTACAACCCCATGGATTAAATTACCATGTGACTGTAGATGATCTTCAGATTTGCATATGTAGCCCCGTATTCTCTGCTGATTGTCATTTCATCATTTCCAGTTACCTACTAGATAACTTCCTCAGGATTCCATTGGTACCTCAAACTCAATATGTCCCTAAATAAATTCATTATCTTCTTCAAACTATCTTTCCAACCTCACTGTTTTTTAGGGGGCCCTCTCAATTGTTCTAGTGACCTCCCGTTAAAATCTTGGCATCATTGTTAACTTACCTTTGCCCTTTCACCCCTAGTCAGTTGAAAAATGTTGCTAAGTTTATCTCTACAAGGTTTCTTACCTCTGACCCTTCTTTTCTACTGCCACTACCCTGGTTCAGGCAGTCATCATTTCTCATTTGTATAAAAGTCTCCCATATGGTCTTGCTTCTCCTTATTCTAGTCTACCCTTCATTCTGCGCCAGAGTAATCTCTGTAATGTGTAGGTCCAACCACAAAACTCATCAAACCTTCTGCAACTCCCTGTTGTCAATTGAATAAAGTATATGTTGCTTATATTGGTGTTCAGGGCCCTCTACAATATGGTTCCAGCTTACCTTTCCATGCTTTTCTCACACAAGTCCCCTTCACTCATGCTTTAATCTAGCCAAATAAGAGTACTCTCTCTTCTCCAAGCATATCGACTGCCTTTCTGCCTCCATGGCTTAGCTCATTATAAACCTATTCCTAAAATGCCCACCTCTTACATTTTTTGTCTGAAATCCTTTGTACCATCTCTTCCATGAGTATTCCTTGTTCTGTTCAACCCCTAGTGACCTGTATCTCCTGGAGTTGTTTCTGTAGCTCTCAATAACTTTCTTATGCACTTAAAATACTCTGATTTATTATATTATAATTATTATTTGCATACATATCAGGTACATTAGATTGTAAATGTCTTGAAGGTGAGGACATTCCAGTAGAATGTAAAGTACTTTAGGGAAGGAGCTAATTCCCTCTCCCCTTTCTTTATTGAACTAAATAGTCCCCATAGATGCCATGTACACAGTGGGTAGTTAATAAATGTTTATTGAATTAAATTCAGTTGTTGGAGTATTTCATCTTAATATTCCCAACACCTAGCAGGTAGTGAATGCTTAATATAGATTTTTCAATACTGAAGTACAATGAATTAAGTTAAACTGATCTGATCGCAAGTAGTGTTTTTTAGTTAAGAACTGGACGGGGTTTTTAGGCATAAGTTATTCACAAAGGTAGATACTAATTCAGAAGATTCACATTGTACCTCTATCTTTGTTTTAGTTTTCATAGTCTGCTTTTCCCAGGTCTAAAACTAGTCTACTTTTTTATTGTTTATTGCCTTCTATATTTATTTTTCCCCTGTAATTTCCACTTCAACATAATTTTTAAAAATCTAGCATGTAATTTTCAATTTCTGCAAGATAGTTGGCATTAAAAGTGTCACAAAAGACTGTTTGCAAGAGTTGAGTATGTCCAAAAAGAACTGTAGTTTATTTCAGTTTTTGGCTTAAAAATGCTTCCTGTTCAGTGTACTGGGTATTTGTCCATTGGGAGCTAGAGTGAGTTTTAAAGATAAGAGAAGTGTTGAACCTAGGTGTGGCCCATTAGCTTGGAAGCATTCCCTCAATTACAGGTCGCAGCCATGAAAATGTAGGTATTTTGGACAAAAGTCTTGTATGCCAGAACTGATTCTCTTGTTAACAAATGAGTGCCCACATTTTCGTGGAGCAGATGATGATTCCCAAATGTACATGTGTACTTGTGTAGGGTAGGCTTCTGTTAGATTTTGCAGAGCAGTTATAGTAGTTAGAGAATATTTCGGTGATTGAGCTGTAAAAAGCTTTCTTTATTGTGTATCATGATCTGTCTAGTATGCTTCATTTCCTAAAATTTCAAAGATTTGTACTTTTCTCAAAATCTCATTATATATCCCATTTTTTGACTTAGACCTTTGCTAGGCATTTCTGATCAGTTTCATATTTTTGAAATAATATTTTTTAACTTTTGTTTTAATTTTTAAAATGAGTAATTCCTATTTTAGTATTTTATGATTTAAAAATATTTTTCTTTGTCTAAAAATATAATAGTCTATATAAACATGTAGGAGTTGGTCATTTATACTGATTAAGTAGGTTAGTGGATAGAGCATTGGGCCTGGAGTCAAGAAGGACTTGCGTTCAAATCCAGCTTCAGACACTCACTAACTGTGTGTAAAAAACCTAATCTTTAGTAACAGATATAAGCTCAGTCGAACTCATAGATTGGGCAAAATATTTTAGGACTTTGGGCGCCTGTTATACTACAGGTTTTGCCTACTTGATAGGCCCTTTACTTAACAAAATCCATCATCCTGCACCCTTAATTCAGAATCAGTGCCAAGATGAAAATCTCTTTCCTCTTCTACCTTTTCTAATATCTTAGTCCCACCTAGTTTCTATTTTTCTTTGCCTGATTCTTCTGTTGTATCTTACGGAGTGCATGCTCTGTTAAAAATGTCTTCTTTATCTTTTAACTCTTTTACGTTCCTTCCACTTCCTGGCACTATCAAAAACCTCAATTTGTCCTTAACCTATTACATGAAATTTCACAGAATGTTAGAGCTAGAAAGGCCTTAGGAATGATCTTTTCTAATCTTCTTACTTAATAGATAAGGAAGTAGAGGCCCATGACTTACTTAAAGTCACAAAGCTAAGTAGTAATGAAGATATAGAGCTTCTGTCTTTGAACCTCACATTTGATAATTTTTCATTCAACACCAGACTTCCTTGACACCTGGCTGTTTGGGCCAGAAGGAGGAATCTTCACACTTCTTATTTACTACTGCCATTTTTATGTCCTTGCTCTCAACCATTACTCAGTGGCCTCTCCTCTCCTTAAACTCAGATCATCTATTTCTAATCCAGATAATTTACCAACCTTCATCACATCCTTTCACCTTATCTTCCTTATTTGAGCATCTTGATTAATCTGGGTCTACCCAATTCCCTGTCATTATCCATAGTGAGTATAGCATTCGTATTGGTGACCTTTCTAAGAACCTGACATCTTACTTCATCAACCTGCTTAACTCCCATGACCAATGTCTCTCAGCCACCCAAGAGTGTTTGTATGTTCAACTTCAGTGCCATTCCAAATTGTTCTGGCTCCACAATGCAGTAACAGATTCCTGTCCTCCTACTTCTCCAGTCATCTTACTTCCTCTGAACCTTACCTTAAACCTTGTTAGTTCTCTTTTGCCTTTTGATTCCCTTATAATACTTCTAGGGCAGGATTGTTGTTGTTTTTTTTTTATTTAAAAAAATTAAAAAAATTTTTGTTATGGACCCCTTTGGCAGTCTGATGAAGCCTATGGAACCTTTCTTAGAATAGTGCTTTTTTTGAAATCATAATTTAAGGAAATACTAACTTTCAGTTAGAGGTTAGTGAATATAAAGATACAATTTCCCCCCCCTCTCCAAATTCATGGACTTCTTTGGGGTGTGATGGGAGAGTGTCTCTGGATCCCAAGTTAATAACCCCCCTGTTCAGGTGTATCATTTTTCCTCTAGCTTCATTTTTTGACATTCAAAGTCTTGACTATACAAGTAGCATTTTCTTGCCCTCAAATTTCTTGACTGCCCCTTTCCTTCCACTCTTCCTGGTCTTTGCTGCCATCAGTATTCACGGCTCCTACTATAAAGCATATGTAGTGGCAGCAGGAAGAAATTAGCAAACAAATTCACTGTTAACTGGGTTCATCACAAGTCTTTTGTTTGACTACAGTTGGGGACTCACTGCTCTGCATCAATACCCAACCAGTATGTATTCACTGATGGAAAATGATCCTAAAAAGTCTTTCAACAAGGTTAAAGAAAAAGGCACAAATAATGTCATAATAATTGAAAGTATGTTCTCCTTTCTTCAGATTAAATAACAGAAATCCATCGACCCTTCATCTCGATCCATAAGAGAGATAGTAGAAAAGCTGGAGAAAAGAATATTCTAAGGGGAAAAAAAGAACAAGGCACCTATACCTTTAAAGAAAGAACTGAGGACGACGTCTCCTTGCATCTACTAATGTAAGTCATTTAAACTCCATATTTCCTGTTCAGTAAGACTCCTGAATATGTTTATGCTACTGGAGAAGTGTGGAAGAGAATGAAATTAAAGTTAGGAAAACCTTGGAGGGGATTAAGAAGGTAAGAGACTCATAGGGTTTGGATCTTGTTTGTATATTTTTCTGTATAAAATGCTACTTCTTTTGGTTAGTTACCACCTTGATTTAGGTTTGTAGTACTGTGTTTCACTTAACCAGCTCAAGGCACCATCTTTTGCTGTAATTTTGAACTTGAAATCTTTAAGAGGAAATGAATAGATTTGGCATTCTTTTCCTGGTGCTGAATGATATAGATGTTGAAGGTACTCATATAAAAGTGATACTGTCTATTGGCTTTAGCATCTCTAGTTATTGATACTGTAGTCCTGATTTGAACTTTGTTGGTTTTTTATACATCTACATGTGTATGTGCAAGAGTATGACTCTTTTCTTCATGTCTACTCAACATATCACTTTGTAATAAGACATTGAAATCTGTTTTTAACCTATACATTTAAGATTAATTGGATTGCACTTATTTTCCCAAACTGCTGGAAAAAATGCACAACAATTTGAGAATTTGTTATTTCAGAATAAATTTTATAAAGAGTCATGTGAAGTATTTGAATTGAAACTTCACATTTTGGTGAGAATTCTTAGATGAATGTACAAATACTCATTTCTGCATCTTTTATGTTTTTGAATCAAGATAGGTCATATCAAGATTTATAGAGATAAAGGCTAATGGAATCAGAATCCCAGTAAGAATCACAGAATCTCAGAATTGGAAGAGATGTCAAAAGCCATTTATTCCAACCTACAAGAATCCCCTGTAAAATGAGAGCATTGGGTTAGATGATGTCTACAGTCCCTTCCACCTCTAAATCTTTGTAGGTGTGTAAAGAAAATGAAGGTTTTAGTATTTTGAAAATTTATATGTAAAATGTTGGTTATTCTGTAAACTAGTTTACCATCTGACACTGCTCACCTAATTTGTGAGCCTATCATAACTATTGGCTGCCTTTGGCAGTTCAGAAAAGGGAGGACTATAAGGTTGTGAGCCCATCTGTGCTGGTTTCTAATCTTCTTTTGGGTCAATTTAGTTATTGCAGTTAATTTGGCTGTTTTTGTAAGGTTGACATTCCTGTTTTAATCCAGTGGATACCTGGTGTCATCATGATATCTGCAAAGTCCTATTATGAAATGACCTAGGGAATTGCTCTTTTAGCTTAAGAGCTCCCTGGTAATGTGCCTATATTGTTTAGCTCAAATACTTCACATTTCATTTCTAGACAGACCAGATGCACCCCTATGAAACACTGAAGAGGAAAAAAAAAAGTGACAAAAAGGAGATTATCAGATGTACCAAAAAAAAGTGTGGTGGAAAAGCACAAGATTTAAGGATCATGTACATATTTTGGAAAGTACCAAAAAGCATATTATGAGTTAGTTTGCTGACTTCAAAAAAATTTTCAAGTTTTTTAACGGTGTATTGAAAAAATATGATGAAAAGTTATATTGAACTCCAGGAAGTTAACCCTGCTATATTGACAGGAAGTTTGGCATAGTAGATAAAGGGCTGTCTTTGGAATCAGGAAGACAAGGTTCAAGCTTTATACAGTGCCAGCTGTAGTTATTGTGGGTAAGGCAAGTCACTTACCTCTGAGACTTTCAGGAGGCTAAAATTAAATGATAGATGAGTTTCTGATATGCATCGGTAGAAGTAGTTTCCACATTGCGAGTTTCCTACATGGAACACTACTGTGTACCCTTCTGTTCTCCCCTCCATCCCCTTATGCCATGTCTCAGAAAGGTAAAGACTTCTAGAATCTTTTAATATAGGAGTTGGCTGGGACCTTAAAGTTAATTTAAGAAAGTGAGTAAATAATAATTTTATTGATAACATTTGACAAATGGTCATCTAGCCCTGCTTGAAGGCCTTCAGCAAGGAGGATCTCTCTACCTTCTATAATATCCCATTCCACCTTTGGACAGTTTAATTGTGAAGAAGTATTTCCATGTATAGTAACTATCCCAAATTTCTATTCAGCTGTAGCTGTGAGTTCTCTCCTCGGGAACAAGCAAAACATCTCTTCATTCTCTTCCACATGAAAACCCTTCCCGTATTTGAAGATATAAGTCTTATCTTTTTCAGGATAAACTTCTCCAAATGACTCAACTCATCTTTGTATGGCCTGGCTTCAAACACCTTCTGCATCCTGGTTGCCTTGCTATGAATGTTCCCCTGTTTTTCATGTTCCTTCCTAGAATTTAAGACCTAGAACTCAACAACAAGAGTACTGCTGACTGCTGACTGTGGTTCGATTATAGCAGAATACAGTCAAACTGTCTTGTGCGTTCTCCTGTACTCTGTACTTCTAATAATGCAAGCTAAGGTCTCTTTAGGGTTTTTGTTTGTTTTGGTTTGGTTTTGGCTCCTGTGTTGCATTGTTGAGTCCTATCAAGGCTAAGGACACTAACTTCTTTCAGGGTATCTAATTGGTTGTTAACATAGTGCTGTCGCTCCTGATTCCTTTACAAAATGGAGCTATTTTTGATGGAGTTAGGAAGTAGCAGAGAAGAGGAGGCACTTAAAAGTATCTTTGCAAGATGACTTTAGAGGTGTGTTACAATGAAAACACGTCTGGACTTGGAGTCAGAGGAGCTGGAGTTTTGGCTACTACCAATTCAATGGACATTTAGTAAGAACCTGCTATTTTGCAAGTACTGGGGTCTCTGAGACAACACTTTTTTTTTTAAAGCCACTGTCCTCAAAGAGCTTTTATTCTGCAGGATAGATACAGTATAAAAACAGAAAAGTATTTTTTTAATCTTAGATAAATATGCAGAACAAAGTCTACTTAGATGTTAATTATCCTCCTTAATCCCTGTAATCTAATCTATAGATGAATAGTTGGCTGTGGGTGACTGTACTTTGAGAATTATTCAGACCACTTTTGGGTCATTCCAGAATATGTTTTCCTACATTAGGAGAATTCAAGCTTTGCTGTTGATATATAAGAAACAATTGCTACCTCCCCAGGAATATTATCCTTAGCAGAATTGTGAATGAATGACATCTTTCTTATATTGAGTGAAAGGTGGATGGAAAGAAGGAAGAGTTTCACCAGGGAAAACAACTTTGCCCATATGAAAAGGAAGTTTTAGAACCCTGTGGAGCTCAACACATTTCTGTATCTTGGTTTGAGGTTATAGAACTGTGGTGGTTGTTTCTGGCTTTCTATCATTGAAAGGTCCATCTTAGGTAGCTTAAAGACTGCTGAGTCCTCTGCAATTCTAGTAGCCTGAACCCAGATGAACTCCACTGGGGATAGCTTCTGAGTACTTCTGTAGGACTAGACACTGAAACCTGAGTCAGATTTCTTAAGGGTTTTTGGTCCAAAAAGACTCTGTTTTTCAGATGAGAGTTTGTCTCTATCTCCATTTTCCAGAATCTGTGCTTCTGACTTTCAGGCCAGGTAAGGAAGCAGAAGATTCATGATTAAACCAGCGCCTGGTTTTTGCTTGGGTGGAAAATAAGGTGTGCTACTTGGATTGGACTAACTAGGCTGAAGCAGTCAGTCTGTCTACTTTTGCCATCTCTTCATATTGCGACTTTAATTTACGGACTGTCTCTGCCATGTGGTGGTACTTGGCTTCTTTTTTGGAGAGGACTTTATAGGGAGTATATCAAGTATCTGTCAGCCCAACACACTGCTCAAAGCTGTGGATACTCTCTTATGTCTGAAATCCTTGTGCTCTGAATCTTGTGTTCTGAAATCTGCCTGCTCATCATTTCTTATAGCATAATAATATTTCATTACATTCATATACCACAAGTTGTTCAGCCATTCCCCACTTGATGGGCGTCCTCTCAATTTCCAATTCTTTGCCACCACAGAAAGAGCAGCTGTAAATATTTTTGTACATGTGGGTCCTTTTCCCTTTCTTTAATGATCTCTTTGGGATACAGACCTAGTAGTGGTATTGCTGGATCAAAGGGTATGCACAGTTTTATAGCCCTTTGGGCATAGTTTCAAATTGCTCACCAGCATGGTTGGATCAGTTCACAATTCCACCGACAATACATTCGTGTTCCAATTTTCCCATATCTTCTCTAACATTTATCATTTTCCTTTTCTGTCATATTAGCCAATCTGATAGGTGTGAGGTGGAACCTCAGAGTTGTTTTAATTTGTATTTCTCTAATCAATAGTTATTTAGAGCATTTTTTCATATCACTATAGATAGCTTTGATTTCTTCATCTGAAAACTGACTGCAACTCTCTTAAGATTAAATTACAAACTGAGTTGCTGATATTGTTGGTGGAAGAAATCCCTAGTGTGAGCATTTTAGCAAAAAAACCAAAACAAAACAAATTGCAAACCAAAAGTTGATTATGCAAAGTAGATTGTATAACACACATTACTTGAAATTAAAAGTAAACATGATATCAAATAAATCCTAATTAATTTTATCTCATAGAACTATAAGATTCTTGGTGTGAATGTTGTAGGCAAAATTCTCAAGTGACTTCCTGAGGTCAAGGGAAAAGAATAAAATGACCCCTGAAAGTCCTTTTCTGTGTCATGGTTTTGTGGTTATTTTATTATCTGGCATCAATATTAATTTAGTCATGAGAATATCAGAAGTTCACCGTTTGACCAGACCATCCTGTCATCAAAAAAGTTTAATATCATTCCACATATTTTGGCAATGTGAAAATTGCTTGGTAATTTTTTTAGAAATGATTACTTCTTAACACAGACCATGTGGGTATTCATGAGTTCATATACGACAGCAGTTGGTACACAGTGAAGCACCTGGATAAATTAATTAAATCTGAATTAAAGCTGTTTCCTTTGAAGGTGAACAGAGAAATGTTACTTTCCACTTCAGAAATATTCTCTGTGATTTATAGAATTATGTTGTATGGACCTGACATTACTAGAGATTGCTAAAATTTTGGAACTCCTAAGCCA